TCACACAGCCGTCACTGCAAACAACGTCAGCAGAAGCAGCGGTGCATGCACCCACACAGGACTGACGCTGCTGTCCGCATTCTTCGTGTTGTTGATAGTTTCGACAGCAGCAGTGGTGGTGGAAGGCTTGGTGTCACTGGCATCGCTGACACCAGAAGCCGCGGAAGAAGCTTCAGTAGGTGTTTGCGTTGCCGGTGCTTCAGAACTGTGGTCTACAGCCGTCGTTGTGGCATCACCTGGAGATGAATCACCTCCAGCAGGTGCAACGTTAGTTACCTCTGAGTCATTGTTAGTGTTGGAGGTTTCATCGCTTTTCCTTTCTTGTTCGCTTGTATTGGCTTCATTTAGGAGTGTATTGCTGGTATGCTGAGAGCTTGACTCAGTGTGGCCTTTGTCGGTCTTCTCGCCCTGAGTCGAGATCTCTTCGCGACGGCCACCTGAGACAGATTGGGAGTCGTGCGGTCCCGGAGCCGTCACCTCTGTTGCCTTCTGCGAGGCTTTCATTCCTTTCATCGTTTCTTCTTCCTGTCGTCGATCCGTTTCATCCGTTTCCTCTCTGTGACCATTGTCCGCAGCCGAATCTCCAAGAGAAGTTGACTCTTTCCCTAACTGCGTCACTTGTCCTTTTGGATTCAGGTCGACCCTCTCAGGACCCGAAGCGATGCCTGGGGGCCCACCAGAACTCGGTTCTCCTTCTCCTTCACGACCCTTAGGCGCTGCAGCTGCCTTGCTACTGCAGTCAGTGCCAGTAGGCACACACCTTCCACCCGAAGGTTGGCCGTCAGCACCAGCAGGACAGTGGACCTCTTCCTCTTTACACTCCACAACATCTTTACGATCTAGAACTCCACCCTTCAATGAACCCACATCCAACTTCGCTGGATGTGCCACTTGGACCTGTGATTCAGATTTTTTGCATTTGGTTTGTCCTTCCGGACACAATTCTTCACCATGAGCACCACCACTGTGTGAAACACCTTGAATCCCACCAGAACCTGCTGCACCGCTCGAACTTGCGGCGTCAGGCTTATATCCCTGGGGGCACTCCTCGGTTTTCTCCACACACTTCGTATGCTCCGCTTCGTTAGCAATTTCAGCAACACCTGAAGCACGCACACAACGCATATTTGTAGGTAAGCACTCCTTACTCCCAGCACTAGCAAAGGCAATAATGGCAGAAGAAGGATATTCGGATGAAGAAGCGTGTCTAACATGCAGCCGTGTCTTCAGCAGCTTCAGGTCATCACCCGCGGCACAGCCGCAGCCCACGCACACGCAGAAGGCACACGCAAGCAGCACGTAGCGCATCATCATCATCATTCTGGGAGCCGCTGTGGTAGTGGCAGTTGTTGCCTTGAGCTGTACAGGAAAAGAGTGAAGCAGACAGACACAGGGAGTGCGCAGCAGCAGGGCTCACAGACTCCTCACTCCACGCCCACGCTATCATCCGCCACCGCGAGGAGAGACCAGCTCAAAGAAGACAAACCCAATTACGTGAAGCCCAAGTGCAG